ACTTCGAATTAGAGAAATGGGATGAAGAAACGAACGTTGTTTAAATGTTAGAATTCATCGAGGAAGAACGTATTCAGATTGTGTTTATTTTGTTGCATAATTGTGTAAGCATTTTATTTTTCGAGTTTCTTGTGTTTAAACGAATGTTATGATCGATGGAGGCCCCTGGAATTATACGTAGTAAGAACTGTACACTTTCTATGGAAAATACACAAATGTAAAAGTTAAACACATACTGAAAACCTCGATTACTCATACAATTTGGAAATGTATAAAATATTTCAATCCATAGTTTTGTTTATTTCTAAGTATTCGAATAATCGAGGGTATATCATTATTATTAATATGAATCAATTAAGTGTTTTATTTGAAAATTCTCATATTTTAGTTTTCAAATGTCTAAACGTGTTTCAAGCATACAATAGAATATTATCTGTCTACGTCAATGTCTTACATATCAACGTGATCTCTTTCTTCTTCTTTTGTAGATTACATTATCTAGGTGTTATTAATTGTAATTTAACAACTACGCATTGTACTCTAAGCTTCGATATATGACAGCGTTTTATTGTTTCACAGTTATGTTTTATACGTGATTTTATTTTATGATAACTAATTACTATTTGTTTATTCGTATGATATAGCATTTGTTATTGTATTTGTTTCCAAGTCCCAGACATCAATGTACTTTTTGTAAAATAACAGATTTCTGTTTCGTAGGCCAGCTACTGTGTTTATACAATGCTAGCAAAGCAATTGTTTATACGAACTCGCGTAAGCAACGGACGAGCGAAACGAAATTGTAAAAAGCAGTAATTACAATTAGTATTAATGGTGCTTTCCCTATCTAATCCTTCGTCAGTGTACAAATTTGACATTTCATTCATTAAATTAGTTTTTAAACGATGCAGTCCTTGTCATAACTATCATCTCCAATACATGTAAGGTGTACATATTAATAATACTTTAAGACATTGTTAAACTGTTATTGTAATAAAAAGAAAAGTAAAAAGTTTCGCATCGTAGTTCAAACAAAGTAACTATCTTAATAGTTTATGCGATGATATATCTCTACATAGTATAAAATAAAATCTCTGGTAAGCATCTATCTGTTTATTTCGGCTAATCTTCAGAACCACTTGACTAGTAAACAAAAATTGATCTACAAATGCTTCTAATGGCACTTATATTAAGTAAAAAGACATAAAAAGACATTCAAATTTCCCGCAGAAGTTGGTGTCGCCATCTAGCGTTAAAGAGGCCGAACTAATTTCGGAGTTTGATCAGCGCCTCTATCAGGAAAACGCTCAAGTTTGTCCTCGAATAATTCAAATTATCACCGCTAGATGGCACTAATTCCAGTGTATTTACCGACATGTTGGTAATGTACCAACAGACATCGGTAAATACTATGAAATGGCGCCATCTAGCAGTGACAATTTGAACTATTTGAGGACAAACTTGAGCGTTTCCCAGATAGAGGCGCTGATCAAACTCGGAAAAATAGTTCGGAATATTCACCGCTAGATGGCTTTTCATTTGAGAGAAAATACTGGGAACTCACAAGAGAAATTTTGACAGTTTAAAAGTCTAAAAGAGAAGGGTAATTCCATAATGATATAATATTTTAAATAGAGTAGGACAATCCCTATATGCAAATTCCCGCCTCTAACTGACTTCCGCCAAAAAGTACCCGGTTGTACCTCTATGGAAAAGTATAGTTCGTATTTTCCAATATGGACGCATCCATAGCTGGTGTCTTCGAAGCATGATTGTGTATTTTAACCTAACTTTTTATGTGTAAACATTATTTTTTACGTGTAGTAAGACGAGACAATGGTGCACAGTAAAATATTTGTAAAGAATCGCGCATTAGGATATGTCAGTAATCACATTCCCCTCGTGACAAGATATATTGAGAGGCGGAAAGAGAATCTTATAGTAACATGCGTTGGAAATGCGTTTCACACGTACGGCTGTTCGCATTTTACACTTCTCAGTGTGTCAGGAACCCATCCAGGTGAAATTACGTGTTTGTCAGGGGATTCCTATCATATTTATACAGCATGTGAAAATGTCATCTTTGCTTGGCGAAGGGGAACAGAGATAAAGCACGCTTACAGAGGTCACGAGCACACTGTGCATGCCTTATTGCCTTTTGGGCCACATTTAATATCTGTAGATGAAGGTAACAATGTTAAAGTGTGGGATATCAAATCAGAAGAGCTAAGTTTGGAACTTAACTTCAGTGACAATCTTTTCAAAATAACAACATTGATACATCCCAACACTTATATAAACAAAGTATTATTTGGAAGTGAACAAGGCCAATTACAGTTGTGGAATCTCAAGGTTGTTAAATCAATTTATACATTCAATGGTTGGAGGACACCTATAACTGCACTTGAACAAGCTCCTGCAATAGATGTTGTAGCTGTTGGTTTGAGTGATGGAAGGATTATATTGCACAATCTAAAATATGATGAAAGTCTTTTTGAATTGGTACAAGACTGGGGCTCTGTGATATCTATTAGTTTCCGTACGGATGAGTATCCAATTATGGCCACAGGAAGTTTGGATGGTCATGTTGTATTTTGGAACTTAGAACAGCAGAAAGTAGAGAGTCAACTTTACAAAGCACATTTTGGTGCAGTGACTGGTTTAAAATATTTGCCAAATGAGCCACTGTTGGTGTCATCATCACCTGATAATTCTTTGAAACTATGGATATTTGATTTAGCTGATGGTGCTGGCAGACTTCTAAGAATCAGAGAGGCTCATGCAGAACCACCTACTGCAATTCGTTTTTATGGAAATGATGGCACAAGTATATTGACAGCTGGAAGTGATTCTTCATTGAGAATATTCTCCACAGTTACAGAAATATTAAATAAAAGTTTGGGCAGAGCCTCATTTAACAGAAAAGCTTCAAAAAAGAAAGGAAGGACTGCAGATGACCCTTTGATAATGCCACCAATAACTGAATTTGCTGCAGAAATTACAAGAGAAAAAGAATGGGATAATATTGTGGCAACACATTCTGGCTTGGGTACAGTTACCACTTGGTCTTATAATCAAGCAAAAATGGGAGAACACAAATTATTCCCAGAAAAATTTAAAGGCAATCACAATGTTGTAGCAAGCAGTGTATGCTTAACAAAGTGTGGGAATTTTGTTGTTATTGGTTATAATACAGGCCACGTAGAAAGATTTAATATACAATCAGGACTTCACAGAGCTACTTATGGTGATGATAAAGGTGCTCATAAGGGTCCTGTAAGAGGTGTAATGGTGGATCCTTTGAATCAAACTGTTGTTACAGCTGGAAGGGATGCTTTTATAAAGTTTTGGGATTTTAAGCCAAAAAAAGGTAGATAAAATTTACTTGGAATGTTACAAAGAACAATGTTATGTTCCTCAACATGTTCTTGTAAATTCAATTCATTATGTTATAATTTCAAGGAAACACAGAGCCAAGAGCAAAACTAGCAATGGATGAACCAATTGAGTGGCTGAGGTATCACAATGAAAACTCTCTGATAGCTGTAGCATTAGAAGATTTTAGTATTGTATTAATTGATCTCGATACAAGACGAATTGTACGACGTTTTGAGGGACATCAATCGCGAGTAACAGATGCGTGTTTTAATCCAGACTCAAGGTGGTTAATAACAGCATCTATGGATTGTACAATCTGTACATGGGATATTCCATCTTCAAATCTAATAGATATTTTTCAGGTATGTATTTGTGGACATTTGAATCTTAAGTCTATTATTAGTACCATATATTATCGGAATGTGACACTAGGTTCCAGAAGCATGTACATCTTTACATTTTTCTCCGACGGGAGAATTCCTTGCCACGACGCATGTATGTAATGTTGGGATTTATCTATGGTCAAATCGAACTCTTTATTCTCATATTTCGCTGAAAGCCGTAAACAGAGATGATCCGGTTCCAATGATCGGTCTTCCGAACACTGTAGTAGAGGTTATCGATCTCGATATTGACGATCTTAAGATTGAATCAGAGTCTGACTACGTTTCCCCACAACAACTTCACGATGACCTTATTACAATGTCCGGGTTAGCTCATTCAAGATGGCAGAACTTACTCAACATAGATATCGTTAGAAGAAGAAACAAACCAAAAGAACCACCCAAAGCACCAGAAAGTGCCCCCTTCTTTTTGCCAACGATTCCATCGTTAGAACTCAAATTTGATTTCTCGGACGTCCAAAATAAAGACACAAACAAAAAATTGATGACTCATCCAAACCTACAGAATCTTACGATTTTCAGTAAATCCCTACTATCTGTCGAGAACGACAAATTTGAAGATATTTTTGAAAAATTGAAATATATGAGCCCGAGTTCGATCGATTTCGAAATTCAATCACTATCGATCGATGAAAACACGGCGAGTACCTTGTTGCTTCGTTTTATGAAAATGATACATTATATGATCAAACAGAAAACTGATTTTGAATTGGCACAAGCTTACTTAGCCGTGTTCTTAAAGTGGCACGGAACAGCGATAACAGAAACCGAATCGTTAAGAAATTATTTAAGTACGATACAAGAAGCGCAATCGAAAAACTGGTTTTTATTAAGAGATAAATTGTTTTATAATCTTAGCGTTGTACAAGCTTTGAAAAAAATGTAATATATTTTGTGATAATAAAAAAAACGAGTTATTGTTTTACATGTTTTTAAATGCGCGCTGAAGAAACACTAATTTTATGGAAATATCTGATTTATTATACCATTTTACATATTTAAATTTAATGATATCACACTTAGAAAATACACTATACATTTCCAACTTGCAATTATTCTTTCAATAAAAATTCGTATCTTACGTTTAATGAGCTATACTACTGTGATTCCAAAAAAGACTGCAATCACAAATATGTGTACAAATATAATTAAAAAAAATAATTGTATTTGAGTGTAGCAGTATATACATTGCAGATTATAAATATTGAGGTACAAAAATTATTCTCTGTATGCAAGGAAATTGCATAACTGTTCCTTTGTTGCAGACTCTAGAGTCAATTCTCCAATATAAGCTTCAAAGTTTATAACAATTCTGTAAAGGCTTCGTTTTATTGCACCATACAAAGATTGAAAAATTTGTTGAATAAATTTCTCTTCCTGTGTTTTTGCCATAATATTTGATTTTTGTAATTTATCAAGAGCTTGTTTCAATGTAATTAACGTAGTAATTACAAGCGGTAAATCCTTTTGTGCGATCCCGTAGGAATCTTCGCTTATTGATGATACAGATAAGGAAGACATTGCTTCAGCAGCCCAAACAATTGATTGTCCATTAAATAAAATGTGACTCACTTTGCCACCTTCCATTTCACCAAAGATGTAAGCAATAAGAGGTTTAGAAAGCAAGTATATGAGAAAATTGTTCCACTTCGTTTTTATGAATTTTTGAATAAATAATTCATTATCATCATCTTTTTTTATATCAATTTGTTGAGTAGATGTTAGTGTTTCCTCCTTTACTAAGCTGCGCATGCGGTAAACGTATTCCTTCTGAAATATATTACCCTTTGTTATCACACTTGTGTTTGGTACACATGATGGTTCTGGAATTTTTATGCATGCTGCATTAAGATCATCAGAAAATTTCTTCATATATCCAATACATTTTTCTACAATGCAGTTCCAATTGTAAGGATGACCACCAGGTTGACTCAATGTAAACAATATGCTTCTTCTTGCCTTTTCCTTTTGAGCCACAGTGACTAAATCCAAATAACCCAAGTGCTGCATTATTGGTATTTTGTCCATGGACAATGCTTCGGGAAGAGTTACTCCAGAGTTGTCAGTATTAAATACATTGCTTTGTTTAAATTCAAAAGGAACCCATTCAGTCAAATGCAGATTAAATAATAAATAAGTGCTGTCAATCGCCAACACAAATATCAATTGGTACAACCACAAATGGAAGATCAATGGCAGATTTATTAATCTAGGAATACTATTCAATGGTTCACTTTCCAATTCTGCAGATGCTAAGAATAATATCACAGAACGACAATAGGAACCCATGAAATAATAAACAATTAAGTAGTATAATGTTGGCCACACACATCTAGCCATTAAAGATGGTAACAGTGTGCATAGTTCTGTTTTAAAACGATAGAACTTTGACATGGGTATAACAGGAAATTTTAAGTAGTTCACACGGAGTATGCTAATCTTTAAGAAAAAGTATAGTCCACTCCAAAATCCACTTAAGAACAGAAAATAATGTTCTTCTATAAGGCATGTCCCATAGACTATAGTGCATTCTCTCGTTAAAAAGCTGTATGTCCCTCCTTGGACTGATAAATGCAACCAAACAAGAAGGCCACCAATGATGATGTGCAGAGCACCCAATAAGATGTTTTGAGACGTGAATATTTTACGAAATTTTGCGAATCTGCTTTTCAAGTAAGGCGGAGTGTTCGAGTAACTTTTACTACAAATAATTCCTTGGAAGAACGTGACAGTAGCGAGAACGCAGAAATAACTCCACATTCGTAACGAGGTTATTGCTGCCCATGTGTTTTGAAACCACGATGCATAGTCTGAGTTTAAATTCGTGATTAAAAACAAACATGACACAAGGAAAAACTGTACCGCTATGCTGGAGATTATAGCTAAGAACATCCTCTGCATCAATAATTCTTTGCATCCTTTCTTATTCGTCTGCATCATTTTCTTTACTTGTGTCGGTTAACCTTCGCTTTCTTGATGAAACTTTATACACTGTACAAATCGAACTTCTATGAAATAAACTGGTACACTGGGAGGTGCTTTACGAAAATGCAAAATATTACATTAACTTGTTACATATCTTCACCATTGCGACTGTTATATATGCATTGTTATACAATAACAAACGAAACACAAACTTCGAAAAGCCGGTATATGCATTTTCCGTTACGATAGGTACATTCGGAAAGCCCACCGTTCACAGAGCCGCTCATTGAACGGATCTGGTGGCGCCATCGGCGGGAAAACGCCCAAGTTTGTAGTAAAAAATGGAGTGTCGATAAAAGATCGATAGCTGCATTCAAATAATAAAAATAAATGATACATTCTTGCATGAAAACGATAAATTGGACATAGTAATATATTAATATTGACATATTAATATATTATATTGTTATAAAGTAAAGAATTTATGATAAATAAAGAATAATTGCTTAAAAAATATCAGTGGCGGGATCTTATAAAAACAGCGGGAACTATCTCGACTACAAACTTGGGCGTTTCTCCACCGATGGTGCCACTAAATTAGTATTAATATAATTCAGTGATTGGCTGTTACCAGAGAGTTGTGTTATAATTATGTGGGATAGATTCTTAAGCGCAATTTGTTTTTTCTTTCGAAATATAAGCGCTTGCTTGTCATGTTTTTATTGAGTAAATATTGTATTTATCGTCACGTGTTTATTGAGTTTTCTGTAGTTCTATTTTATACCCTATAGATCTAGTAACGAAATGTAAGTCAAGTACTTGATACATTTTCGAACACGAACAGGAACTATTCATTATTCAACGAAGGTTGCCTTACTAGTAACGTCTGTAACTATCCCGCATGTCATTTTCAATGCGCCTATATAAATATATAGTATAAACAAAATGGATTAAAGGTCCACAAATATTAGTTTTTGTTATTTTATGGAACTGTTGATCGACCATCGTCATGTGGAAGTGCCATAAATGTGGAAAACCAGTGTACTTCGGTCAGTTCCAATCGTCGCATATATTAAAAAGGCGTACTAATTTTGACAAGTACCGTTTCCTGTCATTAGAACAAATTGATTTGTTTTTTTGTTTGGTTGAATGTCATGAAACTTGTATATTTTTCAAATATAAGAACTATTCGATAAATAACTTGTGCATGTATCCGTCAAATATTTCGTTGTTAATAAAAACATTATTTTTCTAACTAAAAGAGCAATGCAAACAATGTTTATTTTTTGTTGTCATAAATTGGCGAAGATTTCCATTTAAATATTAAAGAGAAGATGAATAATATGTGTAAAAGTTGTAGTACATTTGTATATTTTAGATATCAATCCAAATTAATAATGTTATATGTTCTCATTATTTTTAATTATGTAAATATTTAGTGAAATATGTGAAAAATAAAATATATTATACCCTGAATGTACCCTACATTATAAAAGTATTTATGTAATTCGATGAAGCATTTAAAGAATTATATATCTTTAGCTGAACGTAAACAATCATTGGGATATGATTGGCATCCAGAATGTTTACGTTGTGAAGAATGTGGCAAACGTTTAAATCCTGGCCAACATGCAGAGGTGCAGTAATCTTTTACTCTAAAGTTACTGTTATAATATCATAATATTGCTGATTTATTTTGAAATACAATTAAAGTGTATTTAATGTATACATTATTTAATAGCATAAGGGTGTTCCATATTGTCATGTACCATGTTATGGAGCACTCTTTGGACCACAATTATTTGGTCATGGAACAAGAGTTGAATCGCACACAAGTTTTGGAAAGAAAGAAGCTAGACCATCATTACCCAGGTATGGCATAGATTAAACATTAAACTAATTTTGTATTTAAAATTACTATAACAACTAAATTTCCTTGTTTTCAGATCTCACCTAGAGTCGAAACTGAAAGTTTTCAATCAATATTATGAGGGCAAGAGTGGGGGATTCAGAAGTCGCGAGGTGAAGACAATTTTTATTGCAGCTTTTGAATTCAGAAAAATATGAAGCAAACAGATAATTATGATTTGTTTCATTCAGGTTAATGGACGATTGATATTAGAAGGTGCACTCCGAATTTACTGGGGTGTCCGCGGAGTAATCCATTTAAAAGAAGACGATGATCAGCGTACAGTCGTTACCGCTCGGAATAGAAACTCGTGCAGACGCAGCGTTTCTGATGTTCGTATATGTAAGAATATGTGTCCAATATAAATTTCATAAATCACTATATCTTCTCCCTTTTTATAACAGAGTATAGAAGATGAGACTAAGGAGGATAATCCGGTGAAGAGTACACCCGAACAGGACACAGAAGCTGAAGTAAAATCTGTTCCAACTTCACCAGATCACCTTAAAAGTCTCACTTTGCCAATGAAATTAGATGTTAAAAATATGGAATGGGATGAATTGGATGAACTCCTTCAGGTCGAACGGAAAGTCGAAGACGGCAATAAATTATACCAGACGATGCCCGAAAATCTGCCGTCGATAAGTTCGCAAAACAGCGCGGACGCGTTACCGCTCTCTTCTCAATCCAGCCTGGACAAGTCCGATTCCTGTGAGAATTCAGAAACCAGTAGCCCTAATCATCAAGCCAACCGCGGGAATGACAGTAGTGTAACCAGTACACCAACGCATAGTATAGGTAGCTCTTCCAGTACCGATACACCTGTCTACCATGGAACGCCAAATCGAAACGGAACTCTTCGGAGAGTGGAGTATTTCGATAGTTTGGAAAAGAATATACCTGGGAACAGAACTATTAGCACCGACGACAGTTGGATAGAGAAGGGACTGAATCGATCTATGTCCGGACCAGACTGTCTTCAAAGACATCGAACGGATAGCGATACGGATTCCGTGAACTCTCTTCAATTTAGAGAAGACGACAACATGACAATGTCCACCGACAGCGGACTAGAGGTATGTAACCCCTCGTAGTAGGGATGGCGCTTGGAATGAGATAGTATTTTAGGATAACGTTATTTTTTCGTGCATTTATTTCAGTTGGACGGTGTAGTTTTACGACGAAAACAAGGGTCTACTGCGATTAGACGTCGTCCTGGCGGTCGACGCCAGTCCCGTAGTCGTTTACGACGTCGTTGTTCGATCAACGGACACTTCTATAATCGCGAGACCAGCTTTTTCACACCACCGCATGGATCTCAAATGTCCGTTTGGATCACGAGCCTAGTAAATACTCAAGAAGTTATCAATCTCATGTTGGACAAGTATAAAGTCGACGCTAAGCCGGACAATTTCGCATTATTCGTCGTCCGCGATAATGGCGGTGAGTTGAATTAATAATTTCAAAAGCATTCGAAATGACAAAGTCGTATTCTAAATCAATTAAACGAATGTTTTTTTTTTTTGTTATTCTAGAACAAAGAAGATTAAGAGAGGACGAGTATCCTTTGGAAGTTCGCGTAGTGCTGGGTCCACACGAAAACGTTGCGCGACTCTTCTTGGTGGACAAACTGTCGACACCGGAAATCAGCTCTGACGTCGCGCAATTTCTTAACCTCTCTTTGGCAGAGTGTCATGGCATTTTGCAGCGCTATCATTACGAGGAGGAACGTCAAATTCTTGTACTAAAGGAGAAGTACGTTTCGATGACACATGTGTATCTTAACAATTAATGAGTGCAATAGAACTGACGTTCTATTGTTTTGTTTTAAATTTCCAGATATAAGGAGATGCGACGGAGAATACGACAAAGGATGGAAGAGCTGAAGGTCCGGCTGTAGTTAGTACGTATACTTAACGAATACTTGAATACCCATATCATTATTTTTCTATTAATCCACTCTTCAAAATCGTTCTTTTTTTTTTCCTTTTTTTATAAGTTATTCACTGTGAAAAATATTTGGTCGTTCTCAAGGTATGTATTGTATTAATGATACGTAATCCTTAATCCATGACTTATTTGAACATTCGAGCGTAAGAGTGGAATATATTGATTTACGTTCGAGTGTATAGAGCGATAACATACTAACATCTAGCTTAAAGACTTGTTATTTCATTATCGAGTTGTAATCATTATTTGCATCTTTGCTGCATTTATCTATACGTGCAGTTATTACAGAATCATTCAGTGCAATCTAATTAGAAATTTATATATCCAAATGACATATTTTTTAAGTCGACTGCGCCTTCTACGAGGACACGCGGTCATATTAGCTGTTGTTTAACATTACTTCGTCTAAATTGCCATTTGCTAATTGTTATGTGTACAGGATGGGGTGTAATTCGTGCTGTAATTGAAAATGGAATCTTTCTTTGCACTAAATTGATTCATAAGTCGGGGATAACATTTTTCTATTATAGGCTTTCATTTTGAGATAATCGGGTAATTAGATCGTCATTTCTCGTTAGACTTAATGTTTGACAAGGAATCATTCGCCTTCCAGCCGAGTCATGATTATTCTCCACCCTATACAACGCTTTCGATTATTTGCATGATCAGTGAAGACGAATGAAATCATTGTCGTAGTTTAATAAAAAAGGCGATAAAATATCTGTGTATTAGATAGACACCAATATTAAGTCAATTCACGATGACTTTCGATTGAAACGAAGAGGAATTTTTATGTATAATTGTCACTGTTTAGAATATGCAATTATTAACACAATGCTGTCCAACTTTTCACCGCGTGAGGACCGTGTTCTTCTAAATTTTGTTTTCACGTAGGTGCCAAAAAGAAATTATTGTATATTGAATGGAAATAGAATTTTAACGAAGAAATTGTTGACTTTAAAATGAAAATATTAAAGAAAACGTAACGTTTTAAAAATATATGTATATGTATATATCGTCACAGGGTGAGTTGTCTAACACGAGAATCGCAAATATTTATATTTCTTCTTGATAATAAAAAAAAAAAAAAAGAATTCAAGACAAATTTAAGCATTTGTAATTTTTATCTTACATTACTCACCCTTTGTATATGGATGTATTGCCTATATGGAAATGGTTATAAACAATCGTACCTTGGGATACATTAGTTGGACAGCTCCGATCGAATCCATAGACTGTTATTATCCAATAGCAATTTCCGACAATTGTCACTGCCACAGTTGCTAGATTATTAACGAGAATTTCATTTACGATAGTAAGATAGTAAGAAAGGGATTGCTTTCAACATAAGTGAACTTCCAGAATTCGTTTCGAAAGGTGTTTCAATTAATCGAGTCACGAATAGTCCACAGTTTTTGAATGTAATTTTAGAAAATGAATTTTAATCGTACGGCGATCGTTTCGCAATTTTATTGCTGGTTAGCGATTCTGATTAATCGTAGCTATAACATAATCGCGTTCGTCACGTTGGGAACTTCTACGCGATCGACTTTAAAACATTCTTCCTGCATAACAAACGATCATAGTTTACTATGAAATCTATTTAGATTTCGATTTACGATCTAATTATTAGTGTAATTAAAATTATAACGCAATACAATTCAATACTTTCTTGACTAGATTAAGTATGAGTCGTTCTTGTGTTATTTTGTTTAATGATCTATTTTTTATGTAGTTTTTTTCTAAGCATTTTCTAATTTTCTGATTTTACACTATTGGGTTATAAAACATGAAATGTTCATTAGTTTAGACGGAAATAAAGACACTTCTCCCGAAAAAATTATTGATAAGTAAAACTTCGAATTTTATACAAGGTGGTTCTAAATTTTATATTTGAAACTGTAGTTTTTAAGAAAAGGTTGCTGGGAGATGAATCTAACGAGTATATCGAACATGACAAAATTTTATAGTCATTAGGTAAACAATGTAAATTGCTTCATTGTTCTCAGACACTTTTGTGTCAACATAAAAATGTAAGTTAATCTTTAATTTAATTTTATCAGTTTATATGAAAATATTACAGAAGTGTCTTCAAGTGAATATTTCATATGTCACCACCCAGTGTGTAATTTCAATTGAAGCAATAAAAATTAACATGATCGTACCATGACCGACATTTATAAGATCCAGTTATTAATTGTAATTTAATATAATTTCGTTTTTAAAATATCTAGTAAAAATGATTTGTACGTTTACTAATTGAATGGTAACTTGCAAACACTATGGGGAATTGATCTACTAAGATTGTACCCACATGAATTAGAATGTTTAGTAAGTTGTTTGACGATAAGACCGCAGTGTTTCGTTGACATTATACGGCATTCCGATTTCACGCAAGAACGAACAATCCTGATGTATTTTTTGATGAATTTTTAGAGAATTCTTTGTATTAGAGTGTCTCGAAACGAGTGTTGTGTGATACAGTTTGCTAAATCGTGAGAAACCGTGGAAAATAAACACAGTGTTCTGTGCGCTATTGATCGGATCAAAATCAATTGGCTACTTAAGAACATGGCATGGCCATCCCCACCACAACTCTGCCTATTAAACAAAAAAGTGAACGAGTCTGTATTCACCACTTGCATCGAGATATTCAGTATGTCAGAGTTTCTAGCAGCTGTTATGTATCTGAAAGACTTCTAATTTCCGTGTGTAGACGTGGTCCAGATAACTGTGAGTACTTATGCACAATTACGATTGTACAGTCACATACTTAATATCGAACAGTGTAAATCGTTTCTTTGTTCTCCCCTTGAAAAATGTGTACAGCAAAGGTAAAATGCACCTTTCAACAAAAAGGTGCAAGGTCCATTGTGACCTTTGTTTACGACAATAGATAGCGTTCGTGTAACCATAATTTTAAGCTAGTCACAGTTTTTGAATAGTCACACTCAGCGGGATGTCGCAAGAGCGTTAGCGATTCGAGTTATTTCAACGAGAAAGTCTGGTTTTATTTTAATAGAACATCTTTTAATAAAAATCGATGTTTTATAATTTGATTATTTCTGTGCTAAACGTAAATTTAAATTTGTTATACATTTTTTCACGAGATATTCTTACGCCACAGCTTATCTGTTGGAAGGCATTGTGATATATGAAGAGGCTAAGGAGATAAGGAAAGTTGAGGTCAGCCAGGGTAGACTAATGTCTGACCATAAGAGGAATGAAACTACTTCCTCGGTGGTCAGACATTGTATTGTACATCTTATGTCTATCAACGTTGGGCAGTAATGGATTAGGTTTTTATTCTTTTTTGTAATTGATTAATGAAATAATCATGACAAAAGGCATCTTCACAGTTATCTCAATTCTTATGTCAGTTTCAAAGCCCCTCGTATAAGTACATCACAAATTAAACTAGCGACTAATAGAATACTGCAAGCTTTCTGACTGAACTTTGCTTTCGCTATTCCTAAATATTATATAATTAAACAATATGAAAAAAAAATATACATGTCGAATTGAGTAACCTCCTCCTTTTCGAAGTCGGTTAAAAATGAATCAATTAGAAATTTCTACTTAAAATACTCGAATCGCAACGTAATCGCGTCGCGAAATAGAATCTGGATGCGCATCGAATCTTTCGCAGAGATGGCCGATATTTTATCCAGACAATAAATAACGAATGACGCTATTCCATGTTACAATGAACATTTTTATTTAACAAGTAACAATAATGTTTCATTCGTCATTCGAAATTTGTATCCAGAATTCTGGCCGTCTCTGATTCTCGACGTGTCTCGAAATTAATTTCAAAGACAAATAGATGAAAAGAGAGAGAAGGACGTGTGTACTGGGCCACACGAAACTAACCGTACATATTTTTTAACAGAATAGAACGCGCTTCGTTTGCCATTTTATTATAACAGACATTCGCAGCGCGACGACGGCGCAATTGCGAAAGATTTCAAAGTTTTGTGAACTTTTCGCCGAGTCGCGTCGAGTGGTAGAGTTCTCCTTAGTTGTTAAGGCAGCTTATGCTAGCTATTAGGGAAAATCGTAATCGATATCTCGTAAGGACGCATTGCGATCAATAAAACAGCACTTTGTGTCTTTGTTTCCTCGTAATTCGTGTGGATGTTCACGTGAAGTTTTCGATAGAAAAATGGAAGTGAAGGGAACAAAGTACGTGTAGAATAAACATGGAAGAATTTCATTAGAGATTAAATAGATTAAAAATAGTCCGTACCACGATATATCGAAGCGAATGTTTGCAAAATCAGGCGATACTTGTTGCATCGAAACGTATCGAAGGTACGCTGAAAATCGCACGGTCCGAAATATGAATTATATGAATGTGAAATTGTAAAATATACAAAATTTGTATGAAATCGTTGAAAAAATAATAAAGTGATTGCTTCTTTTGTACGAATCCCTTTATTAACACCCTCTCGTCAAGATTATTCGTTGCATCGTTTCTGAATAAAATCATAATTATTTGATTAGTAAACACAATTACATAGGTGCACTTACCTTTTCATGTTTCACATATAAAGATAGTACAACAGAATTTTGAATCTAATTAGGAATTCTTAAAACGAATGATGCGTTCATTAATATTACACAGGGCGTTCACAAAAACGTGAGGACTTACCAATTTATGTTGACAACAATAAATATCTGGAACGTTAACTTTAAGTGGCTCCTTTGATCAGGATTCGAAACAAATGCTTCTTTTGCCTGTAAAACGTCGCTCTACAGGGTGCCTAAGAATAAATCGTTTCTCACCAGTGAGATTGGACAGAATGTATTAATTTATCTTTGAAGTACGTAGAGTAAAGTAGATCAATGCAATGTTATGAGTAGTATCGAGTAGTAATTGTCATACGAGTTGCTAGGAACGAGTATGTATACCCACAACACCGAGGAGCTCAGCCGCTCATTTTTTTTTTT